GGACATCGGCCTCGCTGGCGGTACCCGGACTTCCTGGGGAGATCACGCAGGGCAGCGACAGCGCACCATCCCGGGACGAGCGAGCTCCCGGGGTGCCGCACCGTCCTGGGACCAGCGAGCTCCGGGATGCCACACCGTCCCGGGACGAGCGAGCTCTCGGGGTGTGAGGACATGCGGCGGCCCCGGAAACCTCCTGGGACGAGCGAGCTCCCGGGGTGCCGCACCGACCTGGGACGAGCGAGCTCCCGGGGTGTGAGGACATGCGGCAGCCCCGGAAACCTTTCGAAGGGCAGCCTGGCGAGGAAGCACCGCGCTGCTGCCCAGCCATCCTTCCACAGTGCGCCCGAAGGGGGTAACAAGTCCCCAGAGCTGTGGGACGAGGATGTTCGCCGGAGTATTATCTCTGATGCCAAAACATCCATGAAGTAGCTACAAGTACACAAAGGGGTGGTTACAGACTATGGAAAAACCGTGTAACAGAACCCTGCAGTCATTTAAGTTACTGCATATATATCTGTGTGAACGTGTATTTACGTGAAGTATAAATTATGTGTATCCATTCCAGTGAAAAAAAGTCACGTGGAAAATTCTAGTGTGGACACCGTGCGTAAACAGGAAGTGCGTCTAGCTGGGTGCACACAAACTACGGTTCCCCTTGGGCCCGGGCGATGACAGGTGACGCCTCTGCCCCGTCAAGTCTACGTATCCCGACTTTCTGAGCTGCGTGCCTATTTCGTCAGCAGACAGACTACCATGCGGTCAGCGCCAAGGCAGGTAAGAGCCCAAGCACATGACACCGGCGTCCCCCCGCATCGGTGGGAAGGGCGCGTTTCTCCTAATGTCTCCTTTCTATTACGATGAAACGTGATGATTTCCCTCACTCTCTCGCTCGGAGGTTAGAAGCCCAAACACTCACACAGTGAGCACCTCCAGGGCGGGCCGGTGTGGCAGAGTTAAGGACCAGGAGGTGGCGGGGCTGGCGTGACCCGGACGCTGCATTTCGGAGCAGCTGCTCCTCCTGGTGGTCCTGACACCCGTGAAGCTGGCGAGGCTCGTGAGAAAGCACAGCTGCCTTGAGGACCAGAGCGGCGGGGGTGAAAGGGACAGCCCCGCGAAGAGGGGGAGAACGTGGCACCCGTGGTCCGCTCAGGAAAGCGGCCGTCAGCCAACGTGCACACAGCGCGACGACACGCACGGCAGGAAGCACGCCGCCTCGCGGAGAGCCAGACCACGCAGACCACGCCCGCAGCACCCCCAGCGGGGAGCGCCCCGTCCAATGTACCCGGCAGTCGGGTGAGGTCTGCAGCGTCGGGAACACGCGGAGCAGAGTGCGGGGAAACAGCGTACTCCGAAGGCCACTTACATGTCGTCCCCCTGGAGAGCTCTGTCGTCCTTGTCAGACGCCTGTCTCGTTGCCTCTTTTTCTCTCTTCTTTTTCTCCTTCTTTTCTTTCTTCGAGAGAGTTCTCTTGAAGTTCTGGATAACACCTTCTTTCTCCTGCTTTTCGGGTCCGTTACTCTGAGCCTTCTGATGAAAATAACATCGTCACGACCTGGCTGCTACACAGACCCGCACAAAGCTCGCGCAGGGCTAAGCCCCTTCCGCCCCAGTCACGGCCAGAGGCGAAGCCGCAGACAGATGCCCTTCACCTTGACTGACAGTTATATGAGTGTACCTGTCAAATCTTAACAAATTACACGTTCAATATCGGTGCATTTCACTGTGTATAAACTTTACCACCATTCAAAACTAACAAGCAAGCAAGCAAAAAACCAAACCCAGTAAGAAAACAGGTGAGAATCATAAAATCTGACTTTCAACTAAAAAAATACAAATGATTTACATAAAGTAGTTTAGAATAAAAGAAATCTAATGAAAATACAGAAAGAACTAAGCATTTAAATCATTATCTATTTATAGATATTTTAACTTTAAAAGAAATGTTAAGCATAGCCATAATAAATTGGTTTTTAATAAAGCAAAGTTACAAGTCTAGTTGTGCAAAAACTTCCCCAAATCTTGTTTATCTGCTGGCTTATTCTTAATTCACAGCACAACCTGCCGGCACGTAACGGAGACACGCGATGCTTTGTGTAACTCGATGGGCTGACCAGTGGAGAACTGAGGACACGAGACAACGGCTGTCACCGCACGTCACTGGGAAACCGCTGCCTTCCACAATGAGCGTCTCCGTTCCCATGCCCACAGCGAGCCGCGTCCCACCCTTCCGACCCGAGGGCTCGACCGCACCCCGAGCATCTGTGCCCCACACGGGCGCAGCGGTGGACGCTGTGCTGCAGATACAAGACGAAGCACGCGCGGCAACAGACAAGGATCTGTGTCCTCACGGACACACACCTGCCGCTTGTTTACACACACGCGACAAGTCACTAGAGCATGGTGTCCAGGCCAAGAATGTGCTTTGTACAGCGAGACTCAGCGAGGAACGTGGACGTCGCACACACAAAATGAAAACTTTTCTCCTTCTAAAAGTGAATAATAGAAGTCTTTTCCCAGTCGGGGGAAAAAATTAAATAGAAGATTTTTCTCAAAATATTCTTAACTTTGCATTTGCTACCTACCACTTGTCTATATTGAATGCTGTGTACGATGCCATTTGACACAAATTTTTTTTCAAATTATATCAATATTTCATAGTATTCCACATAAGAACAGTGGCACAGGACTTCTAGGCACCCTGCCACCTGGGAAAGGCTTAGACTCGCTCTACTACATCATCGAAAGGGACCCAAAAGTTCAGATTCCTGACCTTTCACACGTAACAGGAATGTTTTAAACGTGCCTTAAATGACATCTGAAACATAAATAGCTTATTAAAGTTTTACTTTCCCTTCGATTTTTATTAAAACATATTCTGACTTGGTAAGTTTGGGGAAAGATTGGACCTATTCCTTGATCGTTAATTCTCCTGGTCACTGAAGCTTATGTGACTTTCGTTTGAAAAAGTAGCGAGCAACATTCGGGATCCTTCGGTGACACGGAGGAGAAGCAGGGGGACGCTGGGCTCCTTTCCAGCACTTTCCGGGGGGAGGCACGAGGGCAGCGCAGGGCGAGAAGCAAGAAAGAGGAGGGTGTCCCGTGACGCGGCACAGTCCGCCGGCCACGCGGGCGGCCCCGGCGCCTACCTTGGGGGCGACGGCGTCATTCTCGTTCTTGAGAACAAATCTGCCCTCTCGATCATCTTTATTCCAATTCAACTGCACGACTAGGGGCTTCTCATCTGTATCCAATCTTCTTTCTTCTTCAAAACATGAAATGAAAAAAAAATGAGGCCATGGTTATTTATAACGCTCTAACACGACTTTCTGATATGCATCTGATCCTACAGGCATCAAACACCTCAGTATCTCGAGTACTTGCTGATCGACGGAACTGCAACTCAAAACGTTAAGCGAGAGTTAACGATCGTTCGATACTTTATTGCTACACGTATACTACCGTGTGTCCCACGCACCCAGCGCCAGACACCGCCTGGGGACAGTTTCCTTACAACATGTAGACTCTAACTGGGAAAATAAGAGACACATGTGCCAACGAGGGAGAAAAGAAAGTGTATTGCACTTTGCTATAAGCCCGTCCCCGTAAAGCGCACCGCCTCACACGCCACGGGGAAGGGCGGGCGTCACGTTTAGATGGCGCAGCAGTCCCAGCGAGTCACGCGGCCCTTCCCTTCTTACACGCGCGATCGTGGAGTGGCGGCGGCTCGGCACCTCCAGCCCTGACTTGATGATCGCCCTTCTCCCTGTCGGACCCGTGACTCCGAACCTGCATCCCTAACCCTCGCGCCCCGCCACCGTGAGGCTGCCGCCCCCTCCTCTGCGACGACGAGGAGCTCAGCTCAATGTCTCCTTAACGAGGCTGCGGGCACACGGAGCAGACCGGCAGCCCACCGAGGGCCCTCGAGGGCCCCACGCAGCCTGGCCACCGGCTGGAAGCCTACGGGTGGCGAAGCGGCCCAGGGAACGGCACACAGGACGTGCCGCAGCGAGGGCGGCGGGGAGCGAGGCGGAGAGAGCAGCTGCCGCGCTCCTGCAGCCGGGAGGCGACAGCGGACGGCGCGGGGCAGGGCCGACTCGCAGGGCGGACTCGCGGAGTCCTCTGCGCAGGGCGCGGCGCGGTCCCGCTCTTACCAGCGCACGAGAACGACACGTTCTAAATCGCTGCGGGCGCGAACACCGCGAATGAAAAGTCGCAGTCACGAGCCAGGGGCCGAGTCAAGAAGTTCGAAATTCCTGCTACGAACCAAAGTTATCAAGTTGTTCTTGCTGTGAAATTTGTACTAGATAAAATAAATCCCTCACAATGTGCTTTTTTAGAGAACTAATGTTTAGAACAGTTAAGTCTAAATCCTCAAACAAAAACAGGGGTGAGACCCTAAGGGTGAGACCCTGAACAACTGCCGTGAGCCTAACCAGTGGACGTAAATGAGTCAGGGGCCCCCGTGACTTCACACTTTCAGGTCTTCTGCCTCAGCGGTTCTCACGCTTTTTGTAAAATCGGAATCCTTTTAATTTTTCCACCTGATTTCACAGAGAATCCTCATGTACAAAGGAGAGCAGCAGGGTCCCCCTCCCCGGTGGCCGAGGCACACACTGGGCCCCAGAACTTGGCCCAGGAGGGCTCGCTGGGGGTCGTTTCCAATTCCCAAGGAAAAGTTCCCTGGGCCCGATGCCGCAGGAACCGCGAGCTCCGGGGTCTCCGGCGCCCTGCGACATTCCTACGGCAGGTGTCACGCTGCCGTCCAGCGGGGTTTTCCACGGCGCTGTAAGAAACAAGCCTGCCCGAACCCCACGGGGGAGGGAAGTGAGGGCGCCCCCTGCAGTCTGGGGCGGGCGGCCCCGGAGGCGCAGTGCCCTCCGGGAAGACTGAGACCGGGGGTGGAACGAGCACCTCAGTTTTCTTCTCCTTTTGTAAGAACCACTTCAAACAGCCACAAAGCTGTTCATATTTGGGCATAAATACGTACGTAGAGATTTATCTGAATCTAGCTTCTCGATAAAATCAAATGTCAGGTATGACCCCTGGCCTGGGGGCTGAATCTGCAGCTCCATGCCCTAAGGACGGTCAGGAGCCCGCACACTGGGCCCCCACACCTGGGCACAGATGCACCTGCACTCGGAACACGATGGGGCGGGGGGCACAACCGGACGGTCCCAGCGGGTCAGCTCGGGGTGTGCTCTCCATACACCTCTACTGTCTCTGCCTCCATACAAGGAACGTGTTCTACTTTTTAATTAAAAATAAATCTAGGAAAGGAAGTCTCAAGGAAGCGGTTCTTTTTAAAAATCAAAATCATTTTGTTTTTGGTTCTCGACTTCCAATCTTGCACCATATTTTTACGAAGACCTCACTTGGTGGCATTCAAATGAGCGGGCAGTACAGACAGGAACGGGCTGGGGGTACGGGGCCCGTCTCCCTCCGCGGCCCACGCCCGGGCTCGGAGGAAGAGGGGAAGCCAGCCTGGGGAAGCTCCCCAAGGCTGAGGCTGTCCCCCAGCATCAACTCCAGTCTGGGTGCTATGTACGAAGACGGTGCCCGACAGTCGTGAAAAAGTGATGGCCAGCGTGGCCCGCCTCACATGGGAGAAGCGCTGGGTCTCGCCTGCTTTCCACACAGCACAAAACATGAGCACAATTTCAAAGGTGCAAAGCAAGCTGGGTCTCTGAAGCAAAAAATAAATAGATAACGTTCAACAGGATTCGTGGGTGGAATCTAACCGGGGTTCAGACAGAGTCTGTGTTGCATGTAAACCCTTCGCTTGATGCAGTTTTTTTTAACAGGTGACTCAACACTTGTAAAGCACTCATAAAAATTTATGAATGTCTACATTTCTCATCAGTCCAACTTAAACTATTATTTGATACAGATATATACGGTATTTTCAGAATAATGAAAATATGCTGTTTCACATTGCAAATTATAGTAAGACTGATGATTCATACTGATATTGAACTGGGTTATAATTAACTGTAATATGATCTACACATAAGAGTTAACATGAAATATTTCTCCAAAAGCAAGCAGCACACTATATTATCGATGTGTGTGAAACTGAGGTCTGCAGGATAATTTTAATTACGAAATGCCATGCTACTCACGTTAGGAGACACAAGCATACAAAAAATTAATATATTCTTTCCAACTGCCAACAAACATATGTGCTAGGAGCTCACAAGAACATTTCCCAGACACACGACAGCTTTGCTAACCTGTCCGCTGCTCCCTGAGCCTCTCCAGAAAAAGCCAGAGGTGGCCAGCAGTACGATCAAAAGGGACCGGCCAGAGAGCCACCTACTTACGAGAGCGGGACACGCACTGACCTCCACTGACGTGCACCTCATAGAGCGAATACTTGGGAGATGACAGCATCCGCATGTCCGGCCGGAACTTCTCGGCCAGCGTTTCGATCACGTCCTGAGTTGTGGCAGTACTAGAGACCCGGATGCACTTTGTTGCGAAATTTCCAGCAGCTTTATCTTGAAAATAAAACCTCATCACTCCATGGAACTCCAAATCCTGAAAGAAAAAACGATACACGTTTGGAAAAGCAACATTCCAAAATGATCTGCTTTTTATAACAATTATAAAAAGAAAAAGGCCATCTACCACTTTTAAAAAATGTTTCATTACCTTAAACATTGGAGACAGACTAAAAGACATGGGATTTTAGTTTTCAAATTTAATTATGTCACTTGGGCCGAGTTATGTACAATTTCTCTTCGCCTTACTTGTCTCATGTGTAAGACAATGGCCGTAGAGTAACCAATATTAATAACAGCCCATGTTTATTGATTCTTGAGCAAGTGCCGGATACACCTGGACGTGCATTATTTTATCACGTCTGTCCAACAACCCAGTTAAGCAGGTACTATTATTAAACCTTTCAAGATGTGGTCATTGAACCCGCTCAAGCAGGTATGCGGCAAATGCAGCAGGAAAGCCCGGGCCCAGCGAACCCCATGGCCCACGGCCATGCGCCCAAAGTCCCGTCCAGCGAGATTATGAGACGGTTCTAACAGTGAAGGGGACATAAATGCCAGCCTCAACCGCGCCAGGAACGTGAATGGAAACAGCTACCGCGGACTGTGACTGCAGCTAATTCTCAACATGCACTGCTTGCTCAAGCTCAACGCAAGTCAGACCATGCTCAAGCCGTACTTCTAAAGGGCTACGAGTTCCCGTCGAGGGACCACAAGGCAGCTGGAGCCCACGCAGCTATGCCGTGCTCCTCCCACCCTTCCCTGCTTTTCCTTTTAAACCAGTTAGAAGACGGTCTATCTGGGTGACACTCACATGAGTCTCGAGCCCTTTGCTCTAGAAGCTAAGACTCAGTGGTACACACGCCGAGGCTGTGAGCCTCTGCAGCGGGGTCTGCTTCATTTGCTGGGTGACACGTCACCTGGGGACCTGGGGACATCAGCGTTCCTGTGACCCATCGCTTCCTCGAACACAGGAAAAAAGCACAACTCCCAACGGAAGCGCCGAGAACACCTCTAACCCTGGGCCCCTGCCACTGCCTCCAGCACTCCCGAAGATTCGGCTACGCCGGGGGGCCAGGGGACTCGTCCTCGACCCCTCCTGTGTCACCCTCCACACCTCATACACCAAGTTGCTCCATCGTCAAAACAGACCCAGAATCCACCCCAAATCTCGTGAAAGCCGAGTCAGATCACGTCATTCTTTAGCCTTCCCCCTTCCATGGCGTCCTCGGCGCTCGGATGACAAGCCTTCCCCGCGAGCTCAGAGCCCGCCCCGGTTAAGGCTGTCTCCGCATCCCCCACGCCGCCAGCCTACTCCTGATACTTACAACCTAACCCGTATTTATTTGAAGAAAAGTCCGAAAATGGAATATTAGGGCAGTTAATTGTATAAGCTACATGAAATTAAACCAGAACATGAGACCATGAGACCATGAGGCACATCTCTGGCCCCCAACCTTCATTGTGCCCGCCCAGCCTCTGTCTGACCACCAAGCAGGACGACCCGCGGTTCCCACAGCCCAGGGGGAGTGAGCACGTGTGTCAGGAAAACACCACCGAACCCCAACTCTGGGGTGAAGCAGGGCCCTGGGCACGGGGTGACCGGGAGAACGCCATGAGCTGGCGGAACGGGAGCTGCGTGTTCACGGTTCCACGCTGGCCTCTCGAAGCCACAGAAACTGCCTCTTCGTCCCGCGTGGGTCAAGCAGCAAGGAAAGCTGAGCTGACAGCGCTGTAAATGTCCCACCTCTATGTCCCCTGGCAGCCCCCAAACCAGTACCAGTCCCGACGAGTGTGGAAGATGCTCCCAAACTCGAGGACCACACGTCGGCGGTGGCCAGTGCCAATAACGGCCGGTGTTCCCACATGCACACTCGTGCCGGACCCCGTGCTGAACACCCAGCATGCACTGCGCCCCAGGTCCCCTCACCCAGCCCCCCACACATCACTCGACCCTCTGCTCTAGCTTTCCTCCCTCCCCCCATCTCCGCCACAGCCTCCGGGGAGAGCCCTTTACAACGCGGAGACGACTGTGCGTTTAGCTACATAAATCCGCTTACTGTGGGAGTGACGGTTTCCCCCCGGCTCTCCGATACGCTCAGCAGCGCCCTGACGTCGGCTGGACGTGACGCCTCACCGTCTCGAATGGTAACTGGCAAAGCCACCCTGGCTCCTCCAAAGGCTCCTCCTCACAGACTGAGCTAAACCGAGAAGCCTGGCTCTCGCTCGTTCACGGGTCCTCCCCGTCGCCAACACGCCGGCGCGTCCAGCCGCTGTCCAGCGTGTCCAGCACGTCTGGCCTGCCTGCTCAGAGCTCGGGACACTTCGGATCTCTGAGAAACGGCCCAGCCCCCTCAGCGGCAGGGCTAACGGTCTGATGACGTCACAGCCAGCACAGTCAGCACTTCGCGGACAGGTGCTTCCTGAAAGGAAAGGCGCCCTCCTCCTTCGTGCTGGCTACACAGATCGCCCGAGAGAAAACGGCACAGAAGACAAACGCGGGCGCAGGTCCCGCAACCCCCGCATGAAGCGCCGCCGCTGGCAGCCCGCGAGCGGCAGAGACCCGCCTGGGGCAGGCGAGCGACGACCGCCTGGGGTCACGTCCACCGGGGCCTACACGCCAGCCGCAGTGACAATTCGAAGGGGAGGACAAGGCCATACAACCATCACCTGTCTCCTTCCCTTCGTGGTGATTTTCCTAATGAGAAAGCAAGTTTCTTTTCCTCCTAAAGGTGTATATATTTACCTTTGCACAAATTTTTCCCTGAGAAACTATCACCAATGCTTATTCCAACAGAGATGGAACATGCCCCAGATTGGTTAATGACAACTCTGAAACACAGAGAATACAACAGACCGAAAAAAACACACCATTGAAGGACAGAAGGCTATATTATAAAACTACTAGAGAGCCAATGCAAGGAGCAAAGAATAAAAGATGGAGTTTTTCTTTTAATAATTTTATCGATATCTCAGTTAATGAAACTGATGATCAACTGGCCTCATCCACACCAGCAAACCTCAGCGGAGCAAACCCAATCTCCTTTGGCTCGAGCTGATGAGAACCATTAGTTCTGAAGCTGAAACAGGTGGGCCATGCCAACTCGCCTTCCTGCTCACCCCGTTCAGCATTTATTTGAAATCCATGCCCTGCCTGCAGCAGGACAATGTGACTTCGAACAGGTAGGTGAGGGCCAGCCCAACCCCCACGGGGCAAGCAGCAGTGGCCAGGACAGACGGGGTCATCACAAACACACACACACAGACACACACTCAGACACACACATACACACAAACACAGACACACTCAGACACACACACACACACACAGACACACACACACTCAGACACACACAGAAACACAGAAACACAGATACACAGAAACACACACACAGACACACAGACACACACACACACACACAATTTATTCCTGATGCTGGTGCCTCCAAGACATGCGCCAAATGTTAAGGGAAAATACAGCTGTGCCTTCAGAACGCACACACATCACTAGCCCATAAATCAACCAGACAACAGCCATGTGACTCACTTTGTTAGACACAGTACTAACATCTGAAGGTTAATAGTTTAGGTAGAGAATAGAATGCAGAAACCTTGACTATGGCTTTTTGAAATCTTGTATAAACACTATCTTTTTAAATGCTAGTCCTTCAAGAATACTCTTTAAAATGACATGCAGTTCATTACCTGAAACTTTTATAAGACACATAGTACTTCTGAAAGCTTATAAGAAACGACGTGAGACACCGGCACCAGGGGCTCGCTCCCCAGGGACGGTCTGCCCGCTCTCCCCGCTGCCCTCCTACGGTACGAGCTGTCGGCTGTTTCCTTTTTCCTTTCCTCTTTAAGTTAATAGACTTCTGATTCCAGCTGACACACAACATCATAGTAGGTGCAGGTGTACGGCGGTAATCAACATTTACATACACCATTTTCTAACAGCACCAATTACGTGACCTTATCAACATCTGATTTCTGAAACCACAAGAGTTTTCGATAAAAACTTAAACGGACTTGCTTTACACGGAGCCAGCTTTTCAGATGACTGCAGCGCCGAGATCGGGAGCTTCATTTCGCAGGTCCCAGTTCCAGCCCCGTTTAGCCCAACTTTCCCGAGTCCGCCGTGTCCCCCGTACAAGGGAGCCGTGGTGCAGGGGGCTCCCACAGGCGCTGTCCCCGAGTGCAGGACCACAAAATGGCAAACGCTCCCTGGAGCGAACGGCAGTCGGAGCTGCACCCCGCACGCAGGGAGCAGACTGCACACCTGTGCACGTGCCGGTCTACATGGTAAAACGGGTCCGTGAACTGTGCTGTCCAAACACGGAGGCACGATCTCTAACCCGTGGCAACGCACACCTGCTCGGCGTGAGCCGCCCGCGGACGCCGAGCACCATGCCGCTGGTTCGCAAAGCTGGTGAAGCCCCAGTCCGCCGACAGCGGGCGAGGCCATCTCAGGCGAAGAGGCCACGTTTTCTGGACTGAAAAACTGACATAATGCACGCACGCATGCTGAACCACAAGCGCACAGATGCAGATATGTACGCACACACGTGCACACACAGACACGCACACGCAGACACGCAGACAGGCACACATGCACGTGCGAGCACACACACAGACACGCACGCAGACACATGCACGCAGACACGCACGAGACGCATACACAGACACGCAGACGCAGACACACATGCACAGACATGCACACACGCACACACACGGACATGCACGCACATGCAGACATGCACACACGCACACATGCACTGACTTGCTCACATGCACACATGCATGCACGCAGACACGCACACACATGCACACATGCACGAGACGCATACACAGACACGCAGACGCAGACACACACGCAGACACACATGCACAGACATGCACACACACACACGGACATGCATGCACATGCAGACATGCACACACGCTCACATGCACACATGCATGCACGCACAGACACGCACACACATGCACACATGCATGAACACAAGCAGCTCCCCCTTACATGAACTCTGACAA